ACAAAAGGAAGAAACTGACAAATCTGATATTAACGAATTTTATGTTAATTTTCTCACACATTATTCCTGTCTAGTGATTTTTAATTTTATTCCAACTGTTTGAGTGCTTGAAGTCAGTAATACATACAATATATGTATGTATGTATATCACAAAGTCTTTTAGAGGGTTTTATACAGTGGACAAATAAAAAAAGCAATCGGAATTATTTTATTGTAAAATCATTACCATTATGTTAGCAGTACAAATAAAACATCTTTTATAGATGTCAATATTCTTCCATGAATTAATTTCGTTCATAGTGATAAACACTGTATTATTCAGGGAATAAAAGAAAATAAAGCCTGACTTCTGATCTCAGGGAGCTTACTCTCTAACCAGTGTTTATCACATTCTCTAAAGTAATCACATAGGCCAAATTATTCTTTAATTTACAAACTTGCATTTTAATACAAGATCATTTTATTTTATTAGGTATTTTGATTTTATAGTATTTATATCTAAATATTAAAGAAAGGACTCACGTGTTGATGACTTTATGCCCTCATAATGGGGTAGTAAACCATAAAAAGAACAATACTCACTTTAAGACCATCTTTTCCCTAAGTTTTATTATAAATATATTTCAGAGAAATATATATTCAGAGTGGTTTCAGACAATAAGAAGCATAATGCCATGCTAGATTAGTGAAAAAATATAAATGATAAATGATATTACAGTGAAGGCTGTTACTATCTTATCAGACAAACACAATTGTAATCAGTTCTAGCAGAATTTTCAACACATGGAAGAGAAATAAGGGGTGCAATCAAAGAAAGAATATTGATCCAGCTGTTAGGAAAGTAAGAGTTTTGGTAATTAACTTATTTCTCTGTTACATTCATTATTCAACAAGTTTATCTGGAACACTTACTTGCCAGGAACTATTCTAGTTACTGTGAAAGATCTAGGAAAAAAGCAGATATCCTGCCCTTAGGGAAGGTCATTTCTGTGAGGAAGAGAACAAAAATAATAAAGAAATAAACCTACATAAAATATCAGTGGGGCAAGGTGATTCAGAATGATGATGCTATTTTAAAATTTGTGGTCTATGAATGATTCTCAGAGGAGAGATCTGACTGAAATGATGGAGTATGAAGAGTTTGAAATACTGTCTCTAGCACAGAACAGTATTTTAGTCAAAAGGAACAGACAAAGGTCTGGTCCAAGAATAATCCCAGTGTTTTTTTGTTTTGTTTTGTTTTTTTAAAGATTTATTTATTCATTCATTCATTCATTCATTTATACAAGCACTGGGTACAGTCAGAAGCGCGGGAAGGTGAGAGGATTCACCAGAGCCAGAGCGGGGAACAGAACAGACTGATAAAATACACTGCTGAGGGGAGCAGCAGGCAGAAGGAGAGGTCTGCGCTCCATGTGGGACCCTCGCCCGCAGCCAGGGATTGAACAGGCGCTGCAGAGGCTGTGGGCAGCTTCACAACCCATTGCTCAACCTCTGCACCACCGGGGAGGCCCTCCTTGTGTTTTTGAGAAGGGTCACACCTCTTCAGTTTAATAAAAAATGAAAAGTGGTTATTACAAGATCACAGTGGCTGGGACTAAGGTTATAAGAGTGATGTTGTGAGACATGGCCATATCTTTTGAAATGAAATCAAGAGTATCATAAAAGGGAATACCCAGAAATTCAGGATCAGAAATTTCCTCATCTCAAAATTCTTACCTTAATCATTTGCAAACTTCCTTTTCCATGTAAGAGGCTCCAAAAATTTGGAAATGGACATATGTTTTGGGGCTATTACCATTCTACCACAGTCACTTTTTGAAAACTGTATTAATTTTTCAATTGAAGAAGAAGATAAATGCCAAATTGGGTGGCAGGCAGAACAATGTGGAGCCCCCCAAATAGTGATGTCCTAATCCCCAGAATCTATGAATATGTTACCTGACAAGGAAGAAAGGGTTGTAGGTGAAAGAAGGCTAGTTAGCTGACTTTAAGATAAGGATGTTATCTTGTATTATTCAGATGGGCCCAATCTGATCACACTGTTGCTGAAACTTAACATGCTTTGACCATAGGCAGTAAAATGCATAGTAGTTTTTCATTTGTTATCACAAAAACTTGTGTCTGTAGCATGTTTTAAGAGGATGGATGTACATTTTTCCTCCTGGCATTGTACAGTGAGTTAATGTACTATATAAAAGTAGGTAATAAATTCTGGAAATAAAGAGCAACTTTTCCAAAGTTTATATCAATGAGTGATATTTAAGTGGGATAAATTCACTTTTACGAATTCATCTAGAAGATGAATCAAGTATATTTTACACTGGAGCATAGGCAACATAAAAGTTGTCCTATTAGCATTTCTACCCACTAGGAATATCATCACAGCTGAATGGCTATTCACCTAGGCTAAACTGGAGAGTAATACTGCTAAACGGAACTTTTGAGAGTTTTCTAGTGCATTATCTCATAACTTACAAGATGCTTTCCCCCCCAATTGTTTATAAACATAAGCATTATATTATTATTTGTCATCAAAACAATATATTCCTAAATAGAACTTTAGGTAACAATTATTTTCATCTGAAAAAATTTAAATATCTGTTGGCACTAATTTTTTCACTTTATGTGTTGAAGTGTTTGTTGCCCCTGAATTCATATGTTGAACTCCTTATCCATCCAGCTCAACCCCCAGGACCTTTACAATGTGACCTTATTTGGAAAGAGGGTCATTGCAGATGTAATTACTGTTGAGCTTTGAACCACACAGGTTTGAACTATGCAGTTCCACTGAACAGATCTTATAAACAGACCATGTAAACTTAATGGTATCCGTAAATACAGTGCAGTACTATATTTACTCTTCTCAAGAAATAATACAAGGATGTAAACTGTCATTCTATATCATTTTTCAAAGAGCTTTAAGTTAAGAGAAAGATTGGGCAAAGATGTGGGCAATAACTGAAAAGGGAAGGGAAATTAAAAATATTTTTAAGTATGGGTTCAATGACAACATATATTCAGATATGTGGAAAACATAAATGAAGGAAGAGTTAGAGGGGATAATTAATTGAGCAAGAGTTTTAAGAATGCAAGAGGTGAAGAACTCTTTCCCAAAAGGAAATGCTGGCTTCTATAAAAGGTGGGACATTTCACAGTAATAGCAGAAAGGCAAGGTGATTAAAGATTTGCAAATGTAGTTCTGAGATCTGGGAAAATTCCCTTCTAGGTGCTTTTTTCCTTTTCAATGAAATAGGAAGCAAGTTACCAGCTGAGCAGGAAACAAGAGGATGAACAATTGAATTTTTGATGACAGAGAAGGTACAGAATAGTGATCCACAAGACTGGGACTGTGGTTAGATCACACTGAAGTCCATTAAAGAAACTCTTTAGAGGCCTCCCTGGTTGCAAAAGGGTTTAAGATGCAACCTATGAAGCAATTCACAGTCACAAGTTCAAGCCCCAGCCTGGGAGCTACCCACATGGTGCAGCAGACCTCTCTTGACTCACCCGCAGCTCCCCTCAGCAGTATATTTCATTCGATCCACCCGTTCTATTCCCCACTCTGTCTCTGGTGAATCCTCTCACCCCCTCACAACTCTGGCCTGTACCCCAGTTCTTGTATGCATAAATAAATCTTAAAAAAATAAAAAAAATAAAGTAACTCTTTAGCCCTAATTAATTGAGATCACTGGTTTTCTCTCAATTAGACCTTATTTCAATTAATGAAACTCTAGAAAATATTTTATTATTCAGATGGAAAGTTCCACCAATAGCTTTTATTTTTACTAAAACATTTTATCATTACAATCATGTTATTCCCGATGGTCACTTCATGCAATTTCAATAAAATAAAAATCTGTTTGATTCTCTAACTGAATTTAAGTCAGCTGAAGGTTAGTATGGAAAAAGACTGCATTTTAAGAATCAGAGATTCCACTGGAGACCCAGTGAAGTATTCAATTTTTTCTTTTTTATGATCCTTAGGAAAGTTTGGCTATTTCATATATTCCATATTTCTAAATATTTCATATTTTATTTCTATTGAGTAGAGAATAGTGATTTTAAATAATCATCACATATCCCTGACTTTAATGGAGAACTACTGATATTTCTTTCATTTAAGGTGACACATGTATTTATTTTCTAGTCTTTCATGATTCTGTGTGTGTGCACTTGTGTATGATTTGTATTTTTATGAAAGCTTTTTCAGACAATGAAGTTGACATATTACAGAAGTGTTTTCTTTTGTTACCAGTTTTATCCTCATCCCCCCATAATGTTTCAATATTAAGTTGTTGGGCAAAATGTAAAGAATGCTCCAGTTTACATGTACTTTAATTTCTATGATGGGGTTTTATTTTTATTGCTGTCAATGTTGTAATGACTTGGTTTTCCTTTTAGACTCACAAAACCGGCCAACTGAAGGAAAGTTACTCTGAGGACACAGTAACAAAAGGACTGTCTTGTCCCTGGTGCTGACGAGCCTTGGAAGTGAAGAACATCAAGGAGAATAGACCCAGTTCCTTGTGGGATTGCAGTCCAGAGCAGAGCACACACCTTTCCCTCAGCCTGTACTTACATATCTCGGGGCCACAAGGCGCTGATTTCCTGCCACGCTGTCTCCACGACCTGTTATTTTTACTCTTTTCTTGAAGTTTTGAGTTCCCATGAAAATACTGCAGGGCGCTCCCACCCGTCCCACGCAGGCACCTCTGTGGAGGTGCCTGTCCTCCGGCCTGAGGAGGAGCACAAGCGCCACTCACCTTCTATAGAAGAACTAGAGCTTTTTCAGCGCTCTGGGAGCGGCCGAGGAGGTTTTAGACGGTTCTAGCAGCAACCCTTCTCTCCCCCTGCGTTTCCGCTGGCCCGGCAGCCTAGCACTTCGCTTTACAGGCTAATGGCAGTGCCTCGGGCCACGAAACGCCACTGCACATGCGCATTGCAGAGGCCTGGGAGCCTTGCGCATGCGCACTATAGGTCATTGGCTGGCTGAATCGAGGGCGCTAGGCCTAGGCCCCCCCCCAGCTCCCCCGTGCCAAACTGCAGAGGTATCTGTGGGGATCGTGGTGCCTTTATCTAGGTCTGGTTCAATTAGCAAAGTGTGGAGAAAGACTAGTGCCTATGGAAAAGCTGCGTTTTGCCAGTTCGTGATTCAGGACCTCGCCCTCCTCTGCCACTTGGAACCCAGGACTTCAGAGGCTTCTCTCCATAAAACCTCCCGGTATTCTGAATGTTTGTCGTTGTTTGATTGCCTCTTGTCCCTTTTAATGGTAGAAGCTCCAGCCCTGAGCTTAATCTCCACGTACATTCTCCTCTCACCTAGTGTTTTGGGAAATTAGAATAGTTTGGGGAGCCTTAAAGCCACATCTGTCCCTGCCTTGGTTTCAGAAAGGATTGCAGCAGGTGCACCCAAAGGAACCTTTCAGGAGGAAGGGAAGTTCTCGGTCCACATGAACGAGGGATGGGGAGAAAACATTCCCACGCAGGCATCCCTCTTTCCTTACCACCAGTAATGTTTCTCTGTGAGTTCGTTTCTATTTGTGAAAGATTGTGCTTAATTTCTCCAGAAAACTGCCAGTTACCCTGCACGTCCTCTTTTCCTCTCCCATTGCCTTTTCCTTCTCTCTTTCTTCCTCCTACACTGCCCTTCCATCCTCTATCTCTCCCTAACCCCCTTCTCTTCTTCCCTTTATTTTCTGTTCCATTTCCTTTCTAGCTTCATCTTTGGCATTTAGCGAAATTTAGTGACTTCCACAAACTGTGTATGAAGAAGTGTATTCTGAATGACATTAGGCATCATATTCTTCCTAATCAAGGCACAGGAACAACCAGGAGATCATTTTGCTGTTGTTGAGCTTTGGTATAAAGCTTTATAATGGCTGATCCATTTTAGCATGTTTTTTTTTTTTATTAAGATTTATTTTATTTATACAAGTACGGGGTTACAGGCCAGAGGTATGGGAGGTGAGAGGATTCACCAGAGACAGAGCACGGAACAGAACAGGCAAATAGACCCAAGTACACTGCTGAGGGGAGCAGCGGGCGGCAGGAGAGGTCTGTGAGCCATGCGGGTACCTCCTGCAGTGGCCGGGGAGCAGCTGGGGATTGAACCGGCGCTGCAGAGGCTGTGGGCAGCTTCGCAACCCAGCTTTCAACCGCTACGCCACCGGGGAGGCCCAAGTGAGTGATTTTTATGAGTTCTGTGAACCACTTTAGCAAATTATTTGAGGGGGGCGTGGTTCCTGGGAAACGATGATTTCTAGCCTGTTGGTAAGACGCACAGGTTACAGCTTGAGCTTGCAGCTCACACCTGATATGAAAAGTGATCTTGGGAGACTGAACCCTTAATCTGTGGAATCTGGTGCTAATTCTGGGTAGATAGCAGAGTCAGAATTGAGCTGAATTTTCTGATACACTGCCAGTGCCTGAGGATTGCTTGTTTGTGTAGGAAAGCCTATAAGTACACATTGTAGTTGGGCCCAGGAATCCTATTTATATCTCACCCTATATATAGGAGCTTAGAGGTCAGTCAAAATATCAAGGGAAAATTGCCTATAGAATTTGAGACCTTACTTTTCTGTTGCTTTCTCCTCCAAGATGATGCCTTCAAATAACTGCATCTTTAGCAAACTCTTCTTTCTGTTAAATGGTACTCTCTTTCGGACTGATTTGAATATGGGACTCTTCTCAGATTGTTTTCCTTCAGTGATATTATTACATTCTCAAGTCTTATCTGAATTGATTGCACTCCAATGTCTGAAAAAATTACTTATGTAGTATATACTGGCCAGTTTTTATAGTTGCTTTGGCAGCATATTTAGTCTGACACATGTACAAGTCTGATAACTGCCTTGGCCGTTGCTGGAAGTCTCTGTTTACTTTGGGATTCTGATGTGTTAAGGATCTGAGACTTTAATTTGTAGTAAGGAGAAGGCCATAGAATAGTTTTAAGCAATAAAACGAGTGTTGTTTTACAAAGTTCTTATTGGCAGTAAGTTGGGGAATGAATTAGGGGATAATTACTTTGGTGACAGAGAGGCAATTGAAAAAGACATACTTGTAATTTAAGCACACACACAAAAAGAAGGAATGTGAAATAAGATAGTTGAAAGCTGAAAGATGAATTACAATAGAAAGGTATCAGCTCTTAAATTTTAAAAGGAAACTACCCTTTCATGTATCTAAGGTTAAGCTGAAGGGAAGAAGCAGATAGGCTAGTTAAAATATAGCGTGAAATATAATGATAAAATTTTGTAGACTGGAGATGCTGTTGGTCTGGAATAAGCTCAAGCTTTGGATACATTTGGGAGTAGTAAAATGCGAATTTCCTAATCTATTGAATCTGGGTGAATTCTGAATAAGAACTAAAGGATATGAGAGATTTGAACTGAAAATAGATTTACCTTTTCCAAGCCCAGGAAGACAGTATAAATAGTTTTGTGTTCTAAGGTTAGGAAGTTTGTCTGGATGTGGTGAATGTGAGATTCATATAGACAACCACATGCGTATCAAATAGGCGGGTAGGTACAGCTAGAGTTCAGAAGAGAAAACCAGTTGGCAATACTCCTTTGAGAAAACAATACTATATAGGGGTATTTAAGTTTCATGAGATTAAATAAATCACCTAGAAATGAATATAGATTTTAAAAAATGCTGGGTATAGGATTCTATTAGAATTCTGGGTATTTTTGTAGTTAGCTTTGGCAGAATATGCTTTTACTTTGGATATGTATGATGACAAGATTAAAAAGTGACTCCAATTTTTGGAAAGATAATGGAAATATCAATGCAGTGAGTAAGTAGTGATGTGATAGTAGAGTGGTATAAGGGGAAAGGTCAGTGAAAAAATGTTAACCCACCAGAGACAGAATGGGGAGCAGAACAGGCAGACTGAATGAAATACACTGCTAAGGTGAGTAGTGGGCGAGTCAGGAGAGGTCTGCTGCGCCATGTGGGTTGCTCCCTGGCCAGGGAACAAACCCGTGCTGCAGAAGCTGTGGACAGCTTCATAGGCTTCGTCCTAACCCCTTGCACCACCAGGGAGACCCAGTTTTTGATGCTTTGTGACTAGAGAAAGTGAGCCAAACATGTGGGTGGGATGTGATATTCAAATGAGATTATGGGGGGGGGCAGTGGAGCTATTATTAATAAAAAATTGCAGCTTTTGGCCATGAAGGTGAGAGGCTGAGGTAAGTTGTAGAGCAAGGTCATTGGAGGTGATTGTTGCATGGAAAGTAAGTTTCAACATGCAAAAGTTAAAACTAGTGTGTCCAATTTTAAATGAAGTTATATTTTTAAGAAATCTAGTAGGTTTCTATCCTAATGCACACAGTATAATAAAATGTGACTGACTGACAGGCCAGATTAGAATCATTTTCTACAAATTAAATGTTTGACCTTCAGGCCTTGATTTTTCATCCTTTGACAATGGTAATCCCTCCAGTTGAAGTCCACCTTTAGTTGAAAAGTTGGGTTTATTTTTCATTGCGCTATGAGAAAAATCAAACCATGGGGACTTCTAGGTGTCTCAGTAAGAAAGTATTAGAAAAGACTTATAGGAGTGTCAGCATATTAAAATTTACCAAAGGATTTTAATTTATAGCAGTGAATAAGAGGAGTTAGAGATGTCTAATACCATTGAGAGATTTTTATTAGTCACATTTTCCTGGAGAAGAAAGGACAAGCGAGCTGTGCAGTGTCTCATGAGAAAGCACAGTATTGGTCAGGCGGCAGAAGAGCCTGTGCCAGCACCTTTGATACTGAAGTGACAGGGAGTTGTTAGGTGGGGACATAATCTGTTGGACAGGTAGTAAAACACAGATGTTGGAGTTTTTGGTTGGTTGGTTTGTAATATGATTTTCTTGCACAGGTGAACACTGTATTGCAGGGGAGATGTAAATGATGTTGGCTGTCAATTTGGTCTTATGATTAATGGATGACAAATAGACAAAAATGAATATAAGGAAATGCGGAAATCTTAGTCCTTCAGATTTCCTCAGTGACATACTTTTCCTGAATTAAAACTTTAGCACATATACTAGAAGACTGTGAGAATCTTAATCTTTTAACGTTTGTACATCCAGATAAAAACTAGAATAATTTTGCTTACCTCCTGGCTGTTGTAAAAATAAATGAGACAAAATCTAAATTAAATCATTTACAAAGAAACTAATAAACAGATGTTGTCTAACAAAATGTGAGATCATTTTCCTTCCTCTCTATGTGGAAGAAATAAAAGTATGATCTAGATTTTTCTGTTCTCATTCATGTGGGCTTGTACTTTCAGTTCTACACATATATTAGTTTAAAAGATCAGCATATATTTTTGGTTCTCCAAATAAGTACATTGTTGTTTCTAATCTTTTTCAGAAGCTTCTTGTTGTTGAATAATTTGGCAAATATTCTCTTCTTTCTTCTTCTACACTAGACATCTATACACTATTCAAGTTCTCATTTTCCAAGCCAGACTTTCTACTCCCTCCCCCTATTCTAAGGTTGTAATGTTAATGATTATCAGCTTTCCACACAGATGCCCTACTCAGAGTTTTATACCATGTCCCATGCCTGCACCCCACAGAGACCTGCCTACTTCAACCTGCTCATGCTCTGACATCCCACACCATGTTTTCTCACCACCCAGAAACCTCTCACACTTGCTTGGGGCCTGACACCTACATTAGGTCACATGTGAAATATTCATTACTGAGCTCTGGTCCTGCTACCACGTACCAGGCTGACCAACTTCCTTAAGTAAATAATCTCTCCACTTGTGCTCTGGACCATCCCACATTCCTATGGATGTCCTCTTGTCACTCTGAGTCGGGCATGCCTCCTGGAGACATGCTCCTTGTCTGCTTAGGCTTTGACTTCTCACAGTAGACCCTACTGCTACGTGGAGATCCTCCTATCATGCTGGATCTTTGGCACTGCACCTTGTATACTCCTCCCATGTGAATCTGTATCAGCTGATCTCCATGCATGAATGCTCCTTCATCCTGTTGAGCTCTAACAGAGCACACCTGGATGCCACCCTTCCATAGATTCCATCTTCATTGCTTTGATTGGCTTTTGCTCATTTTTTATACCATTTCCCACTACATAGTCACCCTTCTAACTCTATGACTTTTACACAAGTAGAGATAACCTAGACTTTATATTTTACCTTTAAAATTCTTTATCTCCTTTTTTCTAATCCTTTTATTTCTCAAAAGATAATCATTATAAATTTTATTATTATTCTAATGACTAAGTAATATATATTTAATACATTCAAAATCCTTAGACTAACACATAAAAGAAACATCTATAATTTTTAAAAATAGCTGAAACTCCTCCAGTGAAAGGTGATTATAATTTTGTTTAGAAAAGTAACATATATAAAAGGATACAAAGTAGAAAGTTAAAAGCCTTCCTTTTCCATGGCATATAGAGAGCCTAGAAATAGACCTGTACAAATATCTTTGATCTTTGATAAATTGGTAAAGGCAATATAATGGTCTTTGTGAACTTAAAATTTCTCTAAAATGTAGTTTATTAAAAAAATGCTTCCCTCTTCCTGATTCTTTAAGTCAGGTCAATTGCTCTGGTATTTTTCCTAGTCATTTACCATATCTTTTTATTTTCTATGAACACAAATAGGATCATACATATTAGAATTTTGTATTATTTTATTGGTTATTAGTTATATTGATTATACTTATGATACACAATGATAATTTTCAATCTTGAAGTGTTATTAAATATGTTTTAAATAATATAAGTAATATGGAAACATGCAATTAAACAAATATAGAAAAATCTCATTATATATCAATAAATAGGCAATACTTATGACTGATGAATATTATCCAGACATTCTGAGGCATACAATCAGATATAATAATGCATGGATAGCTAAATCAAAAATCAATAGGTAGATAATTTGTTTAGACTGAGATGACATCAGATATTATATTTTAAAAGAAAAAGTACTTTTTAAATTTAATTAGAGGAAAAGCAAGGGAAATTGCAGTGAGTGCAATTATTTCTTGTTCTGACAGTTAGTAATATCCAAAATAGTCTGCTAAGTTAAAAGATCATGAAAATCATAAAGAGGAAATTAAAACTGAACATATTGTAAAATTTTCTGGGCTGCCCCATACTAGTCTAGCAGACCAGAGAGTAAAGTCATCTTCACAGGCTGCATCCCGTATGTGGAATCTGCTATCTGAAAGCTAAAACCAAGCTTTTCATACCCACTGGTGACCTAGATGCCAGATGAAGAAGATTTAACATTGGGTCCCAGCTTTTGCATCTTTGTAGTGTATTCTTTAGGAAGGATGAGCTAATGGAAAAGTACATTAGATTTTTAGTGGGTTTGTTGGTCAATGTGATTTGGTCACCTCTATATGCTAATTCAAGTTTATTGAATCTCTTATACAGAGATTAGGAGATAGGGCCCAACCTTCCCTGATGTTTATATTTCAAAAGATGGCTCCTACCTTCTTGAGACAGGCATCCCTGGTTTGTAAAACTGATAAGAAAGTGATTTACATCACAAAAGGGCAAAAAAAGTATTTGTAATAAAAAGTTTTGTTAAGTAAACAAGAAAAGGAAGGTCAGGAGCCTGTAGACAGGAAGAAACCTGTCTAAAATTTAGTTATGCTGAGAGTGTTAATGCTGTCTCAGTTACAAATGTTTAAATGGTATATTTCATTTTATTTTAATTTCTCCTTAAGGTAAAAGAAGAAAGATTCTACGAGTTTCTAAAGCAAGCCATAAACTTTGACACTCAAGCCCTGAACAACTGATCCAGCATGCAGACTTAAGAGTAAGTGTGATTTGTTTATTGGCTTGGGGAAACTTAAGTCATTAAATACAGGCTATTATTTTAAAAGTATTTCATAAATTTTCAGTTATATCTAACTTTCCATTTTCAGGTATAGGAAATAAAAACAGGAAAAAAGAAAAATACAAAATTTATGATCTTTATGTGTATTTATATATTTACACCCCTTCATGTTTGCTACAATCAAAATATAAAATAGAATTAGAAAATTAATGATTTGGGCTTTCCATTTTTAGATATAAATCTTAGATAATTTTTGCACTTATTATAGACTGGTTTTTATTTAAATGTAAAATACTTATTAGCACAGATATTTCATTTTCTTCAAGTAACGTCAAGAAATTACTGTTTTTAAATTTCTTTAATAGCAAGATATATGTTTTATAAAAATATCATGTTGTGATTGAAAGATAGGGAATAATTGGGATATTTCTAGATCTTTTCAACTTTAGAAGAAATGTTAGCTTTAAGATATATTTGTAGATGTGAATTGTAGGTAATAGGCAGAAATGTTTTCCCCAATGTTTACATGCAGTTAGACTTTAGGACCTTTATGCAGTGGATTAGACTAACCACTCTTTTAAGCAACCTCTTGAACATTTACTGTAAAATTATTTGTAGAAAAGAAGGGATAAATTATATGTGATTAATAGAATCATGCTCAAATTCTTTGACTTTTTTTTGCTTTTATTTTGATATTCACTGTGAATTTTAATCAAATATATTTGCAAGTGATTTAATATCTCGATTACACTGTTTGTTAGGTGGAACCCAGACTGAATTTCTGCTTCCAGTACCCCCTTATATATACCTGTATATAGTGCCCAGCCTCCACAGTTCTGTGCAGCATAGCTATATATTCTTTCAGTGAAGAAAGTCAAGTCTTGATTAGGGTCTGAGCAGTAGCTCACAAATTTCCCTACTCATATTCTTTTAATTGTGATGTCAGCTCAGTAATGTTCCATCTTCATCAGACAAGGAGGATATACTAACACTTTTCTATAAACATTTCTCAACTCCCTGTTTCATCTGATTGAAAAGTCCACAAACCAAAGTGAGTCTAGGGAGGATTATAACCCTCACGGTCACATAATTCCACTCTGCAAATCATGATGTATATCATCATCATCATCAGTTATTTTATTGTCTATTAAAAATGGATCACCTTTATTTTTACTTCAGAATTAACAGAAAAATTTCTTTTTAGATCTATTTTTGATGTTTACAACCTGTCTCTGGAAAGTTTATATCATTCTCATATATTGCAGTTTCTTTCATTTGTATGAAAAATCATTTAGCTTTGGGAAAGTACATCAGTACTTTTCTACATTATAATTTATTTCTTCACTAGACATATCTTTTAAAGAGGGATGACCTTTTAAAGGGGAGAGCTTTAAAAGGGAAGAACATATAAATGAAGCTCATATTTTCTATGTGAATATGTTCATATATAAATACACTGTCCTACCATATAGGAGAAAAGAAATTCAAATAAATCTGTGCAGCTTAGCTTAAGGAATAATACTATACAGATGACTTTCCAGATTTTCAGTGTCATAAAATTAATAAGATTGTAGAAAAACTCAAAATGTTGGAATTTTGGATTACTTTGTTTTACATACAGGAAATTACATTTCCCCAAGAGATAAAAATTTAAAAAATTTACCTAAGTAGAACTCTACCTGGATATAATATAATAAACTTCCTAATTATAACAATTAATTTGTTAGTGCATATTTGCTTTCCACAATAAAATAAAATTATCTATTCTTAGGGTATTTTCTAATGTCATTTGGTACAGAAAGTGTTTAGTTTTTTCCCCTATATATTTATTTATTCCAAAAGGTAGGCATTATCTAACATTTACTATGCTATCACAGTAGCATCTACTTTTTATAAAAAGCATCTGCTATGAAGCAGTGAAAATTAAATCTGCTTTGACATACAAGGAATCCAAATAGGAAAAGAAGAAGTCAAACTATCACTATTTGCAGATGATATGAAAATATACATAGATAACCCCAAAAACTCCACAGAAAAACTAATTCAACTAATCAGTCAGTTCAGTAAAGTGGCAGGATACAAAATCAACACGCAAAAATCAGTAGCCTTCCTATACACAAACAATAAATCTGAAGAAGAAATAAAAAAAAAAAAAATCCTTTTTTTTTTTTTTTTGTGGTATCCTCGCCCGTGGCAAGGGATCGAACTGGCGCTGCAGAGGCTGCGGGCAGCCTCGCAACCCAGCGCTCAACCGCTGCGCCACCAGGGGAGACCCAAAAAAAAATCCCTTTTATTATCGAAACAAAAAATGTCAAATACTTGGGAATAAATCTAACAAAAGAGGTAAAGGACCTATACAAAGAAAACTATAAAACACTGTTAAAATAAATAGAAGAAGACACAAAGCAATGGAAAGACATCCCCTGCTCATGGATTGAAAGAATAAACATTATTAAAATGGCCATCCTACCAAAAGCAATATACAGATTCAATGCTATTCCAATAAACATTTCAATGTCATTCTTCAAAGAAATAGAACAATTATTGATGAAATTCATATGGAATCACCAAAAACCCTGAATAGCCAAAGCTCTCCTGAAAAAAAAAGAAGGGTATGGAGGCATCACACTCCCAGACTTCAAACTGTATTACAAAGCCATAATCATCAAAACTGCATGGTATTGGAACAAGAACAGACACACAAACCAATGGAATCAAATAGAAAATCCATAAATAAGCCCAAAGATTTATGGTCAACTAATCTTTGACAAAGGAGCAAAGAATATGCATTGGAGCAGAGAAAGTTTGTTCAATAAATGGTGTTGGGAAAACTGGGTTGCTACATGCAAAAGAATGAAGCTTGACTACTACCTAACACCATGCACTAAAACCAACTCAAAATTGATTAAAGAACTGGACATAAGACCTGAAACCATAAAATACATAGAAGGTAATATAGGCGAAACACTCCATGATATGCACATCAAAGACATATTTACAGACACATCACCCACCCAAAGCAGTGATAGTGAAGGCAAAGATAAACAGTTGGGACTACATCAAATTAAAGAGCTTCTGCACAGCAAAAGAGACAATAACAAAAACAAAGAGAAACCCCACCAGCTGGGAGAACATTTTTGCACACAACACTAATGATAAAGGACTGATCAAAAAAATCTACAAAGAGCTGATGAGACTCAACAAAAACAAAGAAAATAATCCAGTCAAAAAATGGGCAGAAGAACTATAAAGAAACTTCTCTGAAGAGGAAATGCGAATGGCCAACAGGCATATGAAAAAATGTTCAACATCATTTGTAATCAGGGAAATGCAAATCAAAACTACCATGAGATACCATCTTACACCAGTGAGAATGGCACATATTAAAAAAACTAGCAACAACAAATGTTGGCGAGGTTGTGGAGAAAAAGGAACGCTCCTGCACTGCTGATGGGAGTGCAAACTGGTCCAACCACTATGGAGAGCTGTGTGGTGATTTCTTGACCTACTAAACATAGAGCTTCCATATGATCCAGCAATTCCACTCCTAGGGATTTACCCAAAGGACACAGAAACATCAATTCCAAAGAGCACCTGCATCCCTATGTTTATAGCATCACTATTTACGATAGCTAAGCTTTGGAAACAACCCAAATACCCAAAAATAGATGACTGGATCAAGAAGATGTGGTACATATACAACATGGAATATTACTCAGCAATCAAGAAAGATAAGCTCACACAATTTGCAGCAACATGGATGGAGCTGGAAGGGATCATGCTCAGCGAAATAAGCCAGAAAGAAAAAGAAAAATACCAGATGGTCTCACTCATAGCAGGAATCTAGAAAACTTAAATGAGAGACCAGGAAAAAGAATAACTATAAGAAAGAAAATATCAAAATCAACAAACAACTATGAACCAGAGACACTCTATGAGGGGTGGGGGGCGGGGAAAGGAGGGGTTGGGTCAAAATAAGGGGGTTTTAATTGTATGGGGAATATAAAAATAAAATTTAAATTAAAAAAAATAGAGATTAATACATGGCCAAAAAATAATTAAATCTGCTTTGTATGCCAAATCTCCATTGTGTTTCTCAATATTTTGTTTCTTTCTAGTGTTTTGGACATTCACATTCTGGCTATCTGTATTGTCTTTAAAGTCTTAAAAATATTTTTGGTGTAGATTTTATGTTCATCTCAGTATTTTATCAAGCATTTATATTTTTTCTTGGGAATAAGAATAAGCAGTTGTTTTGTCAAATATAGGCATTCTACCATATTTAGAAGTAAAAAGCTGTTTTTCTTACTTTTGAGCTGTTACTGAATTTTATGTGATCATCTTCAGTATCTTCAGATAATTACTGTTCTTTGAACACTTCTGCATATCTATAGCCTAGATAGTTTTATCCATATTATAATACATTTATGCAGTCAGTATTTTTTACAGCTTTGCATAGTAAGGAAAGGTGGTATCTTTTGCAAGACCCTATTTTGTAACAGTGATCTGGATACTGAATATAACTAGAAAAGAACACACTGAATTTAAGAATTTTTTTATGAAGCAGGTAATAAGTGTCATTTAAAATAACAAGAAATTAAGTCCTATTTAGAAATGTAATCAGGTCAAAGCATGATCTTCTAAATGTAATAATAGAAGATATACAATTCAGAAAAACTATAATTTTAAAGTGTTCAGAAAGTTAATTGGGTAATCTCAGAAGTTTATCATAAATAATTGAAGAGTTTAGAAAAAAAATAATTTTAATATATGAGCAAAGTGTCCTTTTTGATTGATAATCTCATCAGATTCTGACTTTGCTACCTTGTTCCCATGTCAACTATACAATAAGCATATAATTCAACATGTTTACAATTTCTAGCTTACTATGACTTTCAAAATGATTATTAATTCTCAAGTAATATAAAGTGGCAACCATAGATATGAAAGCTTGTCTTAATAACTTATGGAAAATTGAA